AGGGTTTTCTATGTACAATATCATGTCATCTGCAAATAATGACAGTTTCACTTCCTCCTTTCCAATTTGGATTCCTTTTAATTTTTCTTTATGTCTAATTGCTGTGGCTAAGACTTCCCAGTACTATGTTAAATAAGAGTGGTGAAAGTGGGCATCCATGTCTTGTTCCTGTTCTTAAGGGAAATGCTTTTAGTTTTTACCCATTGAGTATGATGTTGGCTATAGGTTACCACCACTTTTATTTTTATTTTTTAAATATGTTTTTATTGTTTTTTTTTTTTTTTAAGAGAGAGATAGAAACCATTGATATCAGTGAGGTACATCAATCAGCTGCCTCCTGCATACCCCCAACTGGGGATCCAGCCTCCCAACCCTGGTGTGTGCCCTGACCAGGAATCAAACCGAGATCTCTCAGTCCATGGGATGACATTCAATTCACTGAGCCACACCAGCTGGGCAATATACTACCACTTTAAAACACACACACACACACACACACACACACACACTTTGTATCTCTCTCTCTCTCTCTCTCTATATATATATATAAATGTTTTTATATATGTAAAATAACTAAACACACAGTAAATGCGGGAAGGGAGCTGGGTGATAGGGGAAATTTTTTATTCACTATAACCCTTCTATATGGTTTATTTTTGCACCAGGTACATATATTAATAACTAAAAATTACCTTTTAGCCTTGGCCAGGTAGCTCAGTCAGTTGGAGTGTTATCCTGATAAGCCAGGGTAGAGGGTTCAATCTCCAGTCAGGGCACATAGGAGAAACAACCAATGAATGCATAAATAAGTGGAACAACAAATTCTCTCTCTCTCTCTCTCTCTCTCTCTCTCTCTCTCTCTCTCTCTCTGTCTCTCAATAAATACGAAAAAAAATTTAAAATAAAATAAAAATTAACTTTTAAAAAATGCTCTGATAATTTTATTTCATTTGTTGGTTATCTTCTTGTGGAAAGCAGAATGTTGGAAGCTCTATTCAGAGAGGAATAGTCTATCCTTAGGGAGCCTAAAAAAAAGGATTAAACACATGTACCATGTAACTATGCTTCTTAATAATAAGTTTTTATTTTTGCATTGTCCAGATACTTTGCCCATTATTTTTATTGGATTGCTTATCTTCTTATAATTGTATTAAATAGATTTTTTATATTCCAGAAACAAGATCTTTATTGGATATTTGTTTTGTAGTTATTTTCTCCAAGGCTGTGGCTTGTCTTTACATTTTCTTTTTTTTTTATCCTTATTTTTGCATTTATTTTCAGATAGAGCGGGAGGGAGAGAAGGGGGAAGAGAGAGAGAGAAATATTGATGTGAGAGAGACACATCAAGTGGTTGCCACCCACACAACCTCAACTGGCGCTGGGGCCAAACTGCAACCAAGGTACGTGCTTTTAGTGGGAACTGAACCCAGAACTCTCTAGTCCAAGGGCCAACACTCTAACCACTGAGCCAAACTGACCAGGGCAATTGTGTTTACATTTTCAAAACACTGTCTTTTCAGGAGCAGAAGTTTAAAATTTTAAGTGCAAAATAATTTTTTTCTTTTATGGTTTGTGCTTTTAGTGTTATATCTAAAACTCTTTGCCTAACTCAAGGGTTGGCATACTACAGCTAATTCAGCCCACTGCTTGTTGTAGTAAATAAAGTTTTTTTGTTTGTTTGTTTGTTTTTGCATTTATCTTGAGATAGAGCAGGAGGGAGAGAGGGAGGAAGAGAGAAAGATAAACATCGACGTGAAAGGGACACATGTTTACTCATTGTCCATGGCTGCTTTCGTGCTGTAATGACAGAGTTGCTTATCTGCAACAAGACTACATAGCCCACAAAGCCTAAAATATTACTATCTTGTTCTCTCTAGAAAAAAATTTGCCAGCCTCTGGGTCCCCCAAATTTTCTTTTTCTCCAGAAATTTTGCATTTGTAAATATTTGGGTATATTAATTTTTGTATAAGATGGGACAGGTAGGTTGAGGTTCTTTTCTTTCTTTTTTTTCCCCCCACATGGATTGTTGATTGTTCCAGTACCAGTTGTAACAAAGACAATTTTTTTTCCATTGACTGACCCTGCTACTTTTGTTGAAAATCAGTTGGTCATAACTCTATTTCTGTACAGTATCTTCTGTTCCATTGATTTGTACGTTTATCCTTAGGCCACAGTTACAGTGTCTTGATTCTATAGTTTTATAGAAATTCTTGAGATCAGGTAGTGTAAATTTTCCAACTTTGTTCTTTTTCAAAATTGTTTTGCATTTTCTAGTTTCTGTGCATTTACATACACAGTTTAGAATTAACTTGTCAGTTTTACAAAAAGTCTGGTGGGATTTTAAATAGTATTTATGTTAAATCTATTAATTTGGGAAGAATTGATAACAATTTTGATTGATCTTTGAAAAGTGTATCTCCATTTATTGAGGTCTTTGATTTCTCACTTGGTGTTTGTTTTTCTTTTGTTTTATTTTAATCTTCACCCGAGGACATTCTTCCATTTTTTGTTCAGATAGAGTAGGAGGGAGAGAGAGAGAGAGAGAAACATCGAGGAGAAAGGGACACATCGAGTGGGTGCCACCCGCATGACCCAACCAGGGCCGGGGACAAACTGCAACTGAGGTACGCACCCCCAGCAGGAACTGAGCCCGGGTCTCTCTGGACCGCAGGCCGACGCTCTAACTGCTGAGCCAAACCGGCCAGGGCAGTGTTTTGTTTTGTTTTGTTGTTTGTTTTTTTATCCTCACCCGAGGACACCTTTCCATTCTTTGTTCAGGTAGAGTGGGAGGGAGAGAGAGGAACAGAGAGAGAGAGAAACACTGATGTGAAGGGACACATCGAGTGGCTGCCACCCGCACAACCGACCAGGGCTGGGGACAAACTGCAACCGAGGTACGTGCCCTTAGCGGGAACCGAACCTGGGTCTCTCAGGACCGCAGGTCGACGCTCTAACCGCTGAGCCAAACCGGCTAGGGCAGTGTTTGTTTTTTTGAGCACATAAATCTTCCATTTATTTTGTTATATTTAGTTTAGGTATTTATTTCTTGATGGCAAATATAACTGTTACTGTTATATATATGTGTGTGTGTATACATATAATTATTATTATTAATTTTTTAGAGAGATAGAAACATCATATGAGAGAGAAACATCGATTGGCTGCCTCCTGCGTGTGCCCCCTATTGGGGATCAAGCCCGAAACTCGGGCATGGGTCCTGACTGGGAATCCAATTGGAATCTTTCAGTCCATGGGAGGACGCTCACTCCACTGAGCCACATCGGCCAGGCTAACAGTTACTGTTTTTTAAATTTCTACCATGTAGAAATACAATTATATTTTGTATGTTGACCTTGTATCCTGCAATATACTTAGTTCACTTACTGGTTTTAGTGGTAGATTGTTTAGGGTGTTCTATATAGACAGTCCTGTCACTTGTGAAAGAAGACTGTTGTGTTTCTTTCTCTCTTTTTTTTCATCTCTAGGCTTTTATTTCTTTTTCTTGCAATACAGTATAATGTTGAATAGGAGTTGTGAGAGTAGATGTTCTTGTCTTATTCCCAGTCTTAGAGGGCAAGCATTCTGTCTTTCATGATTATATATGATATTAACTATAGATTTGTTGTAGATTCATGTGCTATGCTGAGGATGTTCCCTTCTCTTCCTAGTTTTCTGAGAGTTTTGAGTCATGAATTGTTATGGGTTTTTTCTCCTTTTTTTCATCTATTAAGGTGATCACTTATGTTTTAGTCTGTTGATATGGTAAATTATACTGATGGATTTTTTTTTCCTATTGAAATAATGCTGCATTTCTGGGATAAATGTTATTTGGTCATATATTTCATTTTAAAAAAAATATTGCTGAATTCCTTTTTCTAATATTTGGTTAAGATATTTTGTGAGAATTACTTAATGTTAGGATAACTGGTGGACATTTTGGAATACAATTTATATTAGAGTCAAGACCTTACTCCATATATCATTTGGAATGAAGGATTCAAACAATTAGCCTATAGAAGAGTGAAAATCAGACTATTTATCTGCTGTTGTGGACGGGGAGAAATTTCTAACCAGAGACATAATAAAAGAAATGAAAAAGGCAATAATGGGCATATCTGGTCACTTAAAAATAAAAAACTTCTGGCCCTGGCCGGTTTGGCTCAGCGGTTAGAGCGTTGGCCTGCGGTCCTGAGAGACCCGGGTTTGGTTCCCGCTAAGGGCATGTACCTCGGTTGCAGTTTATCCCCGGCTCTGGTCAGTCGTGCGGGTGGCAGCCACTCGATGTGTTCCTTTGACATCGATGTTTCTCTCTCTCTCTGTTCCTCTCTCCCCCTCCTACTCTACCTGAACAAAAAATGGAAAAATGTCCTCAGGTGAGGATAATAAAAAAAAATAAAATAAAAATAAAAAACTTCTGTATTAAAAGCCAGTGATAGACTGAGAAAATGTTAAAAATAAATGAAAGAAATAGTATCTTCACATTATAAATAACCTACACAAATGGTTAAGGAGAAGAAGAAACTGCTCTCCCATCTCACCCTCCCCCCCCCCCCATGGGTGTGGAAGAGAGAGAGGGGCAAACATTTGTAAAGAAAGGCAGTGTGGCCCTGGCCAGTTTGGCTCAGTGGTTGGAGCGTCGGCCTGCGGTTCAGAGAGACCCCGGTTCGGTTCCCGCTAAGGGTGCATACCTCGGTTGCAGTTTGTCCCCGGTCCTGGTTGGGTTGTGTGGGTGGCAGCCACTCGATGTGTCCCTTTCATGTCGATGTTTCTCTCTCTTTCTCTCTCTCTTCCTCTCTCTCCCTCCCACTGTATCTGAACAAAAAATGGAAAAATGTCCTCAGGTGAGGATAAAAAAAAAAAAAAAGGCAGTGTGAGTTATGGGAGAAAGATTTGATTAATGACATGTGAAAGGGTTACTGGATAGCATTCAATGTCTAACGGGGAATTTGAAGACTATAATATTAAAGCTGGATCAGTCTGTGTGTATGTGTTTCTACAGGTAATTGAATTGATGCAGGATTTGGAATTTGAGGATGGTGAAGTGGAATAAAGAAAGTAACATTCTAAGTGGACTGATAGCTTGGATGACAACCAATATTTTGAGACTGGTGATAACAGCAACTGGAGAGATGAGAGTAGGTAAAGTGCGTGGAAGGGATTGAGTATAGACCCAGGTTAGAGAAAATAGAGTGGGATATTGACTGAAAAAGAGAAGAAGAGGGTAGGGCTGTTAAATGGCGTGAGCCTGAGGGAAGGAATGGGGTTGCTTATGAGTTGGGGGTCTTGAAATGTCATTGTGCAGAAGGTCGATCTATTACCTTAGCCTTCATTCTAGAAAGTTCTTAAAAACAAAAACAAAAACAAACAAACAAAAAACGACTTAAGCCCTGGCCGGTTTGGCTCAGCAGTTGGAGAATCAGCCTGCGGACCAGAGAGACCCAGGTTCGGTTCCCACTAAGGACACATGCCTCGGTTGCAGTTTGTCCCCGGCCCCAGTTGGTTGGGGTTGTGTGGGTGGTGACCACTCGATGTGTCTCTCACATTGATGTTTCTCTCCATCTCTCTTCCTCCCTCTCTCCCTCCCGCTCTATCTGAAGATGAATGCAAAAATATCCTCTGGTAAGGATAAAAAAAAAAAAGAAAGAAACATCGATGAGAGAGAACATCGATTGGCTGCCTCCTGCATGCCCCCTACTGGGGATCAGGCCCACAACCTGGGCATGTGCCCTGACCAGGAATTGAATCCGGCGACCTCTTGGTGCATGGGTCTATGCTAAACCACTGAGCCACACTGGCTGGGCAGGCTCACATTTTTTAAGAATTCTCTTATGTTTGCAAAATCCCCACTGTTTGGATTAGCTTTGAGGTAGAGGAGGAAGATACAGTACTACTAGTTTAGTAAAATCCAGTTTGTCTTATCCTACTGCCAATGGCTCAGAAATGAATAGTAGCCATCATATTGTGTGCTTCTTCTTTTTTAAATCCTTACCCAAGGATTTTTTTTTTTCTCCATTTATCTTCAGGTACAGTGGGAGGGAATGAGAGAGATGGAAGGGAGAAAGAGAGAGAGAAAGGAACATCGATATGAGACACATCGACTTAGTTGCCTTCCACACAACCCCGGCCAGGGCTGGGGACCAAACTGCAACCAAGGTACATGCCCTTGACTGGAATTGAACCTGCAACTCTTTGGTCCGCGGGCCAATGCTCCAACTGCTGAGTCAAAGTGGCCAGGGCTGGGTGCTTCTTTATCATAGAAATTATCTTCTGATGGAAATCTTGTTTCTTCTTACTCTTCCATTTTACCTAGAACTAGGTACTGAGGCTTCTGTTGCTGGGGTAATGTCAGCAACTCTGATGAGTGAAATAATAGTTACTAGCCCTCTTGTCTCATTGGAATACCAATGCAAAACAAATACCGAGTTAATACATACCTCCTTTGGAGATCCATTCATTCATTCATTCATTCATTCATTCATTCTTCACCTGAGGATATTTTTCCATTGATTTTTTTTTTTTTTAGATGGAGTGGGAGGGAAGGAGGGAGAGAGAGAAACTTTGATGTGAAAGAGACACATCGATTGGTTGCCTCTGGCACGACCCCAGCCGGCGCCAGGTATTGAACCTGCAACCCAGGTACGTACCTTTCACTGGGAATTAAACCTGCGACCCTTTGGTCCATGGGCTGATGCTCTAACGGCTGAGCCAAACCAGCCAGGACAGATATCTATTTTATTATTTTTTAAAATATGTTTTTACTGATTTTAGAGAGAAAGGAAGGGAGAGAGACATTGATGTGAGAAACATCAGTCAGCTGTCTCCTGCATGCCCCCTACTGGGGATCAAGCTCACAACCCAGGCATGTGCCCTGACCAGAATTGAACTGGAATCTCACAGCCCCTCATAGTCCATGGGACAATACTCAGTCCACTGAGTGCTGGATGAGATCTGACTCTTTTAAAGCTAGTAACTAATTACCTCTTACCAACTTTCTTCCTCTTTCTCTTTTTCACCTTTAATCTTTAATTTCAATTTTTAAAATCTTTAGTAGGGACAAGAATAGAATTTGGTATTTCTTTAACAACTAAAGCATCTGTATAAGAATCTTTGCTTACAGGGAAACAATGTATCACAATATCTAAAGTCTGTAATGTTTTCAGTAGACTAAATGTGTCATTTTTCTCCTACTTTAGACTTATCCATTCTAATGGAAATGTAACTGGAACCAACTCTGATGATATAATCAAGAACCATCAGGCAAGATCATGCAGTAGAAAATTTTGCTTCCAAATGAAGACACAGACATTTAGAATTTCTACTTTCTAAGGTATTTGAGGCACAATTTTATTTTAATTTGACTCATTGGTAGTCATTTTATGATGTTGGTTTCTATATATAGATTTATAAGTTTAAATTTTTATGTAAGAATGGTTAGCTTTTGGAGAAGAATTCACCACCCCCCTCCCCTGGCTCACTCACCCCCCACCCACCCCCATGCAGATTAAGACTCAGTAAACTATGTTAGAAAAACTGAAGTAAGTCAATACCAATTTAATAATTATTTTACTCCGAGATGAGCAACTGAATTCAGCTCTCTAACAGTCTGCTCACATGATGCAAGAGATCTTAGTGATAGTCCCTTTTTTATTTGGAAGCCTTTCTTTCCTATTCTTCTAAATTTGTTAAGGATTCTCTGTTCATCGGGAAGTGTCACTTTTACTCCCTATAGACTGTGCTTGTAGGACCTTTGGGATTTAACTTGCACCAGAAAAGTGAGATATGTAAAGAATCAAGTGATACTTCCAAATTATGGAGTGGATCCCCACTCCAAAGACTATATAACATAACTGAAAATAATCAATCAGACAATTGTATTCATGGAAACAGTGCTTCCTATTTTTCTAAAACACATATAAATTCTAAAGAGGGTACAGTTAGGTGTTCATGTAAAAAACAAATATTTTTAAAAATTATATTTTTCCAAGTATGCAGAAGGTATGAAAAGATAATTATTTTAGGGGATAGGTCCAAGTTGATTGATTCTCTGTATACATTATAGAGGTTTATAAATTAATCTTGCTCACATGTAGATAAGATGAAAATCTGAGAAAAATGTATCACATTTTATTGGGATTATTTCATTTTGTTCTGTTTTGCAAGAATATATAAAGTAGTAAATTCTAAAATAATAGAAATCCATGATATTGAAAAATTCTAAGGCAACTTCAGTTAAAAAAGTGGATTACCTTGCCCAGCCAGAGTGGCTCAGTGGTTGAGCATCGACCCATGCACCAAGAGGTTGCCAGTTCAATTCCCGGTCAGGGCACATGCCCAGGTTGTGGGTCTGATCCCCAGTGGGGACATGCAGGAGGCAGCCAGTCGATGTTCTGTCTCATCAATGTTTCTATCTCTCTCTCCCTCTCCCTTTCCTTCTCTCTAAAAGCAATAAAGAAAAAAAATGGATTACCTTCTAGAAAGGGGTAGTGTAATTGACTAATTTTTGCCAAAGCAAGCTTACCTTGAATCAAATAGCAAATGAAAAATAAGTTGCTTTGATGAGAAGTTTTATAACTTCTCTGGAAGGTAGGAGATGTATCTGTACTTTTCTAAAATTTCTTGGTGTCATTCTGAATCAAATGGTAATGATTAAATAATAATTTGTCTTATCAGAATCATTTCCCTTATTTTTAGATATCTTTCCTTCTTACTTTCATAATTTGTCTTATTATCAGAACCATTTCCCTCAATTTTAAAAAATACCTTTCCTACTTACTTTCATTTAACAGCATTAGTAGAATGTCTAAACTTTGCAAAGAGTGATTTTGGATATGTAGAAGAATATAAATTAGTCTGTAACTTCATTACGAATGAAGTTGAAGACATCTTTCATTCAGAATGTTTACTCTGAGGCTAGGGAGGCTAAATACACTCATCTGAAAACCATTTAAAGGCAATCATAAAGTGAGCACATAAAATAATAATTTAGAATCCCTTTCTTAGTAATATAGTTAAGTTCTATATTTAGATCTCAACGAAAGTTAAGATTAGGGAGTTCTGATCAATTGAATTTGCTGACTAATTGGTCTGCTTATGATTCTATTTGTAAAACTGCCACATAGCAAAATTAGGTTGCTTAAATCTTTAATTAGGTATTTCTAATTCATTAGTTTCTTCTGTTTTTTCATTTATTTACAAGCTTTCACAGAGTGATTTTCCTATTAATATTTGTCATTGTTCCTTTTGAAAATGAAGAAAAGTGAAGATTTTACAAACTCATGCTCAGAAATTTTATACAATACATTTTGAAAAGATTTTCTTGTAATTTTTTTGAGAAGTCTTTAGATTGTGAGATTGTGAGATTTTTTATTTTGTTTGTTTTGACTGGGCGGCGGGGGGGGGGGGGGGGGACGACATGGTATTAAAACAAAACAAAATCAGTGCATAAGTTAAGGCCCAGGAACATTTGTAAGGTTATGTCTTGGAATACAGTTTACATTAACTTAAAGTGGTACCTTTTAGAAATATTTTATTTGGATTCAAGAAAACATTTGAAAACAAATTTCAGCAGGGTGTAATAAGGAAATGGGTATTCATTCCCTTGCTATAGTTTTCTCTGTGATATGATGGAAAGAGAGCAAGCTTCAGTTCTTTAATTTTCATGCTACTCTGGGGAATTAATATGTCGGTTTTAGTTTCCTTTTCTATAATAATTGCTTTTAACCTTGTGATGAAAAATGAAATAGATGTATATAATTATATAAAATAATACTTTTCAGTGTGAAATTAAAGAATGTTGCTAAAGACAGAAGACCACACTACTGAAGAATCAGTCTCAGTTACTCTTCTCATAGCAAAAAACAGGTCAACTCACACTACTACTCAGAAGCTTGTAAAACCAGTTTCAAAGTTAATGACAAATATTATGTTTGGAAAGAAAGTAAAATGAGCTTTTGGCAAAGATCCCTTATCAAAGGCATACCATCTGGAAAAGCAATTAACTGTCATGCGTACATGCTAGAAGAATTTTTGTTTTTCAGTTGGATAAAAGCACTCATGTGCAGAGGACATACCAGCACTTCATATAGATATGATACTGTTACCACTGAGAAATACACACCACTGCAGAAGAATATTTTGTTACTGCTTTGTTTTGTTGTTGGTAGTGGTTGGTGTTTTTGGTTTTTTTTTTAAGCCATTGTTGCCTGGAAGAGTTGCATTATTTCTTCTGATCCAAGCCCAGGTACTTTAGCTGGAGGGAAGGTGCACTTGGTCTAGGAGTAAAAAATTATACCACGGTATCAATTCATATCCGTCTTTTTTGGAGAGAAGAACTGGTATTCAGTAATGTGATTTCTTTCTTTTTTTTTTGTAATCCTCACCGGAGGACATTTTTCCTTTTTTTTTTTTTTGGTTCAGGTAGAGTGGAAGAGAGAGAGGAACACACACACAGAGAGAGAAACATCGATGTGAAAGGGACACATCGAATGGCTGCCACCTGCACGACCAACCAGGGCCGGGGACAAACTGCAACCGAGGTACATGCCCTTAGCGGGAACTGAACCCCGGTCTCTCTGGACCAAAGGCCAACGCTCTAACCGCTGAGCCATACCGGCCAGGGCAGTAATGTGATTTCTAATTGTGATTTAGTGTTGAAGAAATGAATAAAAATTGTGGAAGTAAGCAATTTTTGGCCACCAAAATCATGTTTTTTCAGAGTATTGTGAAGAAATGGTTAACTATAGGATCCTGTTTTTTTTTTATTTTTTATTTTTATTTTTTTTCTTCAGATGGGGGGGAGAGAGAGAAAGAAGAACATCCATGTGAGAGAGACACATCGACTGGTTGCCTCCTGCATGACCCTGACCAGGGCCAAGGATGAATCACAACTGAAGTATGTGCCCTTGGCCATAATCGAACCCATGACTCTTTGGTACAGGGGCCGATGCTCTAACCACTGAGACAAACCAGCCAGGGCCGATTTTTTTTTTTTTTTTTTAATCCTGAGGACGTTTTTCCATTTTTTTGTTCAGATAGAGTGGGAGGGAGAGAGAGAGAGAGAAACATCGATGTGAAAGGGACACATCGAGTGGCTGCCACCCACAGGACCCAACCAGGGTTCGGGACAAACTGCAACCGAGATATATGCCCTTAGCGGGAACCGAACCCAGGTCCCTCTGGACCGCAGGCCAATGCTCTAACTGCTGAGCCAAACCGGCCAGGGCCGATTTTTCTGATTTTTAAGGGGGCATATCCTAGCAAATACATTTAGTATTTCAAATAGTTAGAACTTATAAGTTTATATTCACAGTATCATGAGTTTTAACATTAAGGATGAGATATGAGAGGATTAACTCCAATTTTGAAAGAAGTTCTGTGGGTAAAATGCTATCAAACAGCACTGCATGCTACACAGAAATCATTCATGAAAGGAAGAGTTAACTGATGCTGCAAATTTTATTGTTGTTTTAAGAAATTGCCACAGCCATTCCAAATTTGAGCAAGTACCACTCTGATCAGTCAGCAGCTATCAACATCAAGGCAAGACTCTTAACTAGCAAAAAGATTGTAACTCACTAAAGATTCAGATGAGGGTTAGCGTGTTTTAGCAATAAATATTTTAAATTAAGTGTGGACATTATTTTTAGACAATGCTATTTTTATTGCACACTTAATGGACTATGATAAAGTGTAAACATAGCTTTTATATGTACTGTGAAACAAAATAATTCATGTGACTCGCTTTATTGCGATATTAACTTTCTTGCAGTGGTCTGGAACTGAACCTGCACTATCTCTAAAGTATGCTTTATAGGGTTCAGTACTATCCGTGGCTTGAGGCATTCACTGGGAGTCTTGGACTGTATCACCCATGGATAAGGGGGTACTACTGTACTTTCCAACTGGATGCTATGGAAACCAAAAGGTATATGTAAGATTAAGCATAGTTGAAAGGTGCTCAGTTTAACATATGTTATCTGGTAAAGGCATTGAGACATTTACTGTTCTGAAGATGATCTTTAATGAGGAGGCATAGCTAATGTGGTCAGTTACAAAGCAGGGAATCACTAAATTTAAGAGAAAAAGCTGATATAAGGAAAGAAAAATATAGTAATAATAGCTAATAATTAATGTTTACTGTGTGTCAGACACTATGATAGATACTTTATATTTTTAGATACTATTCCAATAACTCTGTGAGGTGTAAACTATTATTATTTCTATGTTATGTGTAAGGAAACAGTCTTAATAAGGCTTACATTGAAGTTAACTCACAGTAGAGCCAGGATTCATTGTCTCTTTCTCTTGGGATGAGTTCAGAAACTGATT